ATTGATATCTTCATGCTGTATAACTTACCATGAGATTAATTTTTCTCTTTTCCTTTATTCCTCTTCCTCTCCCTATAGTCTGTATTTAGATTATATGACAGAGACTCCTCAGGTTATATTAGCATTGATGAGTTCCAGTCCATTTCATCAAACTTTCCATTCATTGAGTCATTCTCAGTACTAGACAGAGACAAGTAAGTATTATACACTCTTGGTATTACTTAGATGAATATACATGTACATTGTACATCGTAACCATGCAACTAAAAGCTTAAACTGATGGAAATAGACACTATTGTCTCACTCTTTAAACTCTAGTACTAATACTTAGCCAATGTACATGTAATTATCTTAGCTTCTCTTGTGTCTGTGAGTACATATTACAGTCATACTGTTAATGATAAATGAATTAATTTATTTCTGTTTCTATTGTTAGAGATGGTGTTATCAGTAGAGATGAGATGATGGATTATTTTCTTAGTGCCAATACTTCACTGAGAGAGAGTTTCAAACACAATTTTGTAGAGCACACGTTCATTGGTACACAATACTGCCAGCACTGCAAAGGAGTGGTGAGTTGGTCTTTTGTCAAATTTAGAGCAACTTTAAAAAATCTTTAAAAACAGTTTTGATTAGAATCAGTTACGTGTAGGTAAAAAATGGCTTGTAGATTACTTTTTCGATGATCACATACATGTACACATGACATGTACATGTTCTTGAGAAGTTTTAAGTCATTTTTATCGAAATAATTTTAAATACTTTTACATGTTTGTAGAAGTTTACTGATATTGCCCTAATAATTTTAAATGATGAAGGATTCTTATTTTTGTGTGTCACTTTCTTTTTCCCCTCCTCTCTCTCTCTCTCTCTCCAGTTAAAAGGTATAGTCCGTCAAGGTGTTCGTTGTAAGGATTGTGGTATCAGTTGTCACAAACACTGTAAAGACTATGTTGTTGTTGATTGCAGCAAACACACCGAGAAGAAAAGTAAACCAATAATAATAATAATAATAATAATAATAATAATAATAATAACAATAATAATAATAATAATAATAATAATAATAATAATAATAACTTTATTGATTGTTATTTGTACTGATAGAGCGTGCAAGGCGTTATACTGCAGTAGCCTCAACCAGTAATGGTGAGTATGATGTGAATGATGAACTGTCACTGAAGGAAAGACTGAGGAGAGCTGAATCAGTAAGAACACACCACTAGACACTTATAACTACATATGTACATGTACCACTCACTGTACATATATTCATTATTGCACTGTTTGATTCTTTACTAGGCAAGAGATGCACTATCAGCAGAGAATTCTGAGCTCCTTGGTAAACTGGCAGAGGCTAATGCTAAGATACAGCAATTGAATGGATACATTGCCACTATACGTCAGCACACTATTGGATTCATATTGGAACAAATGAACACACTACAACCACAAATGGATACTCCTGTCTAACCTTCTGACTATTCACTATTAATTGTGTGTGTGTATTTTTAAAAGTTATCATTAATTTTTGTTGTTGTTTTGATCATGATTATTACTTTAATTTGTAAGCTTTTTACAACTTGTTCACACCTCTTGATGAGCAGATTATCACCTAATGAGCCACGCCCTTTGCGATGAGCCCCACCCTTGTTTTGCTGAAAGCTAAAAGTAGCCATGATTGATGTATCTCAATGCAGGGCCGCTATTGGCCACTGGAACTCCTCCAGACTTCGTTTATTGACTCCTGCAACTAATATTGATATTAAAAGTTTGACACATAAAACTTTTAACGCTGCTTCTACTATCAAATCTACTCGTATTCCTACTGTTCATATTAGTGCTATTTATTCTGGTCCTGATTCTATTTCTAATTGCACTGTTGAAGCCT